CTCTGCCATCCTTGACAAAAAAAAAAAAAGAAAAAAAAAGATGTCCACATCCAGGTCCCTGTAATTTATGAGTAGGTTACCTTACATTGCAAAAGGGACTTTGAATTGTAATTAAGGGGCGTTATAGGCTGAATTACATTTACCCAAATTCATATATTAAAATTTGAATCCCCAGCACCTCAGAATTGGACTGCATTTTGAGACAGGGTGTTTAAGGAGGTCACTAAGTCAATGTTGTCATGAGGGTGGGCCCTAATCAAATCTGCCTGGTGTCCCTCTAAGATGAGATTAGGGGACAGACACACACAGGGGAAGGACTGTGTGGACATGCAGGGAGAAGACGGCCATCTGCAAGCCAAATGGAGAGCCCTCAGAAGAAACCAAACCTGCTAACATCTTGCCCTCAGACTTCCAGCCCCTAGAACTGTGAGGAAACAAATTCCTGGTGTTTAAGCCACCCAGTCATGGCACTTTCTTATGGCAGCCTGATCAGACTCATAAAAGGATTTTCATATTGGGGGATTATCTTGGGCAATCCAGGAGGGCCCAGTGTAAGGTCTCAATATAAGTGTCCCATATACAGCACCACATAGGGGTCCTTATAAATGAAAGAGGGAGGCAGGAGGGTCAGAGAAGAGCTGTGATGACATAGGAACGTCAGCCTTCTTCTGTGGACATTGGCTGTGAAGATGGAAGGGGCCACTAGCCAGGACTGCAGGCAGCCTCCAGAAGATTGGAAGAAGCAAGGAACAGATTCTCTCCTAGATACTTCAGAAGGACACAACCCTGCCTCCACCTGGGCTTCACCCTGCGAGATCCATGTGGGACTTCTGACCTCCAGAACTGTGAGATACTAAATTTGTGTTGGTTTAAGCTACTAAATGTATGGTGTTTCTTTTTATTTTATAATCACAATAGGAAGCTAACACTGTGTTCAGTAGGCATTTAGATGTATATTTTGCGAAGTCGCTGAGACACAGAGAATAACTGAAGCCATTGTAATGGACAGACTCATTCAGAGAAGTATTTAGAATGAGGAAGAGATGGAATCTAGGGAAGAATGTTCCAGGAGACCAACATTCCAGGAAAGGGAGAAAATTGCACTGCTGTTTCTCTGATGGCTGGGTCTCAGGACAGAAGTGTAGTCAGAGGGGACATGCGGGGAGACACTGATCCCCCAAAGCGCCTTCCTTCGACATAACAGCTGTACATCACAACGAAGGCTATGACGGACAGGTTTCAGAGGAAACAGCAAAAGCAAGACCGTGAAATAGAGGTGTGAATAGAATCAAAAGGGCATTGCTTTTATTTTATTTTATTTTTGAGATGGAGCCTTGCTCTGTCACGAGGCTGGAGTGCAGTGGCGCGATCTCGGCTCACTGCAACCTCTGCTCCCAGGTTCAAGTGATTCTCCTGCCTCAGCCTCCCGAGTAGCTGGGACTACAGGTGTGCACCACCACGCCCAGCTAACTTTTGTATTTTTAGTAAGGATGGGGTTTCACCACATTAGCTAGGATGGTCTTGATCTCATGACCTTGTGATCTGCCCACCTCGGCCTCCCAAAGTGCAGGAATTACAGGTGTGAGCCACCACACTCAGCCAGCCATTACTTTTTATAGGCTGGGCTCCTCCTGCTAACCCATAGGCAGCTTCCAGCCCCCCTCCCCTCCATCTCCCCATTCCTTTCCTCTCACCTACTGCCTCTGACGTGCACACTTGTCACAGCTCCTCTTGAGAGAGCTGGAAAGGCAGCCTGGGACCAGACTGACTTGGGCACACATCCTCTGCGCATTCCTTCCTCCCTGTGTCTCCATCCAACTGTACCATAACTGATGACGTCCTTGCTTCTCTACTCTGGGGACTCGCCTGATTGATTTCTGAGATGAGAGCTCATCTTCCTCACAGCATCCCCAGCTTTGATGGCGGGTGTGTGGCAGGTACTCAGGGTCTTCAAATGCCAGGCTAATAGCTACTCCTGAGGGAGGGATCAGAGACCATGTCTGAGAAAACGAGCAGAGGAAGCGAAGGGCCCCAGGACCCGGGAAATGAGACGGGCAAATGCTGCCGTAATAGAATCTGCCTCCCTCCTCTTTCGGGTCTTCCTCCCATGCAACCCCTCAGGAAAAGGACTGTGATTGATGCTTACATCCGTTTATTGATTGAAAAGGAGCCAACATGGTCAACATGATGATCAGAGGAGCCATCGCTCCCCCTCTCTTTGCAGTCACTTTGGTGGTTTTGCCAGAGAGCCCTGATGCACAGTGGGAGATGGTCTTATTTTGGAGGGGACCCTTACCTAAACTTCTTTCTCTTTGGAATGGGAGACCTGGACTTGGAGAAGGCCTGAAATCTCTTTTTCCTGCACCTGTAGTCCACAGAAGTGAGCATTGTTCCTTAGCCACTGAGGAATCCCTCCCACCCTCTACCCCCCCTCCACCACCTGCCACTCCGGAGACCAAGGGAAGCTGACTGCCCAGAGCCAGGGTCTAGCCCGGCTGGTGGAGTGCCTGGAGCTCTGTGCAAGTCTGCATAGGAGGGAATGGCCAACAGGAACTGGCCCTCCTTGCAGGCTCAGGGCTCCAGGCATGGGAATGGAGGTAGGACCTGGGAGGGCAATTGTCTGCCTTGTTTCTGCTGGTGGCTTCTTTCCAGGACCTGGTGTAGTAGGGTCAAGGCCCTTTAGTGACTCTCCTCGCTAGTCTTGAGAGACAGAGGAAGAGTCTTTTGAGAATGAAGGAACAGGACAAGCAGCCTCTAAAGCACCTCTGCCTGCGGGAAGACCTGGTGCTCAGCAGCTCTGCTCTGGAGAAGTGGTATTGGATCTTGGTTATTTCTTGAGATGAAGTCTCCATCTGTGCCCAAGCCGGGAGTGCAGTGGCACAATCTAGGCTCAACTGCAGCCTCTGCCTCCCTGGTGCAAGCGATTCCCCTGCCTCAGCCTCCCAAGTAGCTGTGATTACAGGTGCTTGCTACCAAGCCTGGCAAATTTTTGTATTTTTGGTAGAGACAGAGTTTCACCATGTTGACCAGGATAGTCTCGAACTCCTGACCTTAAGGGATCCACCCGCCTGAGCCTCCCACTGCTGGGATTACAGGTGTGAGCCCCCACGCACAGCATGGTATTGGATCTTGATTGCCTCTTTGGTTCTAGGCACTCCCTGTGGGAGGTGGTCTTAGCCTTCTGAGGGGTTACGAACTTGGCCTATGACATGACGCTATGTGAAGACATAAACTGTGTCAGCAGGTCCTGAATCCTCTTGCTGCTCAGTGGGTGAGACTGGCCCCTGGAACAAAGGCTGTATGTACCAAGGCCAGCCTGCTCTGACAGCATAGTGATCGGAGCCCCCATTCCTGCCTCTGACCACGCTCGTGGCATGGAGCCTCATGCCCATGGCCAGGAGCTCAGGGTATGAGAGCACATGGGCTCTGGAGGCAGCCATGGGCTTATACGTCTGACCTGATCCGGTGCTTACAGGCAGAAACCTGGGGCATGTAACTTACTTTTCTGAGCCCCATTTACTTATCTGGAAAAGGTGCTACAAAGGATTAGATACAGGGGAGAAAAAGAACAAACTAAACTGTGTGAAAGCCCCAGCACAGGGTCTGGCACAGAGGAGGTGCTCAGAACGCAGGCTTCTTCGTGGCTGGTGATTCCTTTTGTCTTCCCCTCTGGGCTTCTGGCCAGGAATTTCACCCCCTGTCCTGGTCCTGGGTCCCTGCTAGGTGTGCCCTCCCAGCATGTCTGGTGACCTCAGCTCCTTTCTAGCTTTCCCTACCTTGGTGACCTTGGTGCCTCTGCTGCTCCTCAGAGGCCTTTAGAGAGCTGCGACGTGGTGGGGGGTATGGGTGTGGCCTCTGCAGCTAGGTTAGCTGGGTTTCAATCATGCTGTCATAGCTGATGTCCCTGAACTTTACTTATCTCACCTGTAAAATGAGGATGGTGGTAACAGCATTTCAGGACAGGATTTTGGAAAGGAGTGAATGAATCCACGAATAAAGTGCTTAGATCAGCTTCGGGCACATAGTGAGCACCCAGTAAACAGTCATCGTTTAATTCCTCTGCTCTTCAGACACCACCCCAGAATGCCTCCCTGCCAACTGCCTCCGATCACCTCTCCTTCTTCTGCCCTCTCCTCCCCCACATCACCCTTCCAAACCCCCATGGCACAGGGTTGATGCCACCCAGTAGCATCCTCAGGTACACCCCTGGGCAGTTTCCTTGGACACATTTAATATCAGACACGTTTGGAGCTCTGGGTTTTGGTTTTCCAGTGCCCTCCGACCTCTGAGGGCAGGAAATAGTGAAGAGATGGAGATGGATATAAGGGCCAAGAGGCCTGGGGGCATCATGACTCTGGCAATGTTGCAGGAATTGAAGGAGGAATAAAATAAGCTTTGCTTTACCCAGACAGACCACCAGTTGTTTTCTTTTATCCTTTACGGACTGAGCCAGCTAGGGTCAGCAGAATGTCAAGGCCACCGTGAGTTTGGTGGGAAGTCAAGTGGAAGAGAGTCAGGATTAAAGAGCTGGAGGGGCAGAGGAGGCTGGTCCAGGAGACCGGGAGAAGGGGTTAGGAGAAAGGAGACCTGGGGCGCTGAACTGTACCTTCTCCTTGTACCTGCACTTGTCAGTTAAAGGGGACGTCGATAGGCTGATGCTGGAGCAGCTGCCTGCCTTGCCCTGGACCACTGATTCATTCTGGACGGTTCTTTCCCCATTTTTTTTTTTTTTTTTTTTTTTTTTTTTTGGTGTCAATACTTGGCTTGTGGGAAAGAGTTGGGAGCTGCTGGTCTCTGTCTCCTCAGCATCTCAGAGTAGGGTCATCAGCTCCTACAAGATATCTGAGGAATGATGCACAAGACCCATCCTGTCCATTTTCTCCCTGGCAGCAATCTGGGGAGAAGTATGTGTGGCAGTGGAAGGTGGGGTGTGTTTTAGAGGAATTAACTGGTGGACACGGTCTTTAAATTCTTGAAGAGAAGAATAAAAACACAGCAGACACTGTTAGATAGAATACAATTCAACATTACATTGATTCCTTTAGGCTTTGGATTAGATCAAACTCTCCCAAACAGAATAGCCATGGGGAGCATGATACAATCTAGTGAACCTAAAACAGGGAAACTGGTTCTGTCATTTGCCCCACTGACATGAAAAACGTCATTGCAGGTGATCCTTTGTCGAAGAAATGTGGAGTCTGACCGGGGCTGCGTTCCCAGATCAGGTGCATCCATGCCTCAGCCTTACACGGGGCAACAGGCATTGGCAAACACCTCAATGTCCTGCCTCAGTGTGACCCAGGAATATTTCCAGCCCACACTTATGTGGAGGATCCCCATGGGGATGATGATGTTTGGGGATAGTTCCTCACGTTTTCTCTGCTGAGAAACTAGCTTGAGTGGGCAGCGAATAGAGGCAGGTACTGCGAAAGTCTGCAAAGTGAATCCAGAACCTGGACTTCTGGAGTTGCGGTTGTCCTCAAACTTCCTTCCACTAAGACATCCGTGATAGCAGCATCCAAATGGGCCCTCCTCATATAGCTGTGCCCAGGTTACAAGCTCCTGGGCAGAGTAAATGAGGCACCAGGAGTGTGGGTTTCCACTGACTTATCCAGGAGCCCGTCCCATTTGCTCCCATTTAAGAATTCATCCAGGAATGCAAGAGTGATATTATAGGGCCAATATCAAATCTGCATTCATGTCAGAAGAAGGGAAATGATCTGCAAGGTTTGTCACTGAGGCACTAAAACTACAATTAATGACGTAGCACTTTTGACACTCCCAAGATTGGTCTTGACTGCCTTTGTGCAGGGCTTGATGTGAGCTAGAGACCTGGCCACACTGGCATGGATCTGCATGAAGGCCATGGCCATCCTGGGTGAGCCTCAACAGCCATGAGCTCCCCAAACTCTGACTCCTTAGGTGGAGCAGGTAAGGGGTGGTCCCCACGACACAAGTGCTTGCCTCCATGGATTGGCCCACAATGCAGAGGGAACAAGGATGGATTCCGGCTCTGCATATGGAACTGCCATGGAGGATTGGGTTATCTGGAGACCTGTAGGAGAGAGAGGTGGCCATGGTGACTGGGGAGGCCACAAGGCTGAGGAGTGAAGAGAATTAGCTCAAGCCAAGGGTGATTCTGGTGCAGGATGCTCTCCTCTCACAGCTTGTCACCAAATGCTCTCCAGGGGTCTTTGGCTTGGCCTAAGGTGGCATGGCTGGCTCCCTCACAGGTACAGCTTCTGACCTTTCATCCACGGGCCTCTTGGTTGCCACAGGTAGTTACGGAAGCACTTACCTCTCAGGGGCTCTCTGCTTGCTGGGTCCTCTGGAAACCCACTTCTCTTCTCTACCCTAGGCCCCAGGAGGCCATCAATTTGCCTCCAGGAGAAGCTGCACTAGGCACTTGGGGAAGAGGTGGGAAGCTGGGCAAGAGAGGGATGAAACAACATTGGAGAGGTCAGACAAGTGGCTGTGCAGTTTTCTAATTCCACCATGTTCTCCTAACCCAAGTTGCTTCTGAACGTACGTGGAAGCTCCTGCTGCTCCCAATGCCTTTCTTTCCCCTCTTTGCTAACTCTTGTCTTGTCTTTTGTTTTTGGGTGGGAGGGCATGGCCTCTGGGAATGTCTCCCTCCTCTCTCAAGTCTGGGGTAGACACCTCCTGCGTTTCCACAACCCGCATTTCACCAGTTGGCTTGTCTGCACCTGTCACTTTGGGAAGCAAGAAGACAGCAGGAATGGCGTCTTGCTCCCAGCCAGGGCTGGTCCCAGAGTGGGGCACTTAATAAATATTTGCTTTTTTGGTGAGCGGGGACAGGGATAATGGAAATTTGAATTTTCTAAGGTGAATGCCATCTCTAGAAACCTACAGATCATTCAGATATGGAACTTGATGCTCTCAATTTTGATCTTGATGGAAGTGAAGGGGAAAACCATCTTGCAGGATCCCTCTGTATCTTTCCATTTTGCTGTTCTAGATGCAGAAGTAGAGGCAGGGGTAGGAAGAGAGAAGAAACTAGTGCAGCATGCATTTGTCCTTGGCTAATGACCAAGTTCAGAAAAGAAAGTGGTCAATGAGAAGGCGTTATAAGGTCAAGCAGAAACTGTGATATCCCCTCGCCTACTCCACTGCCTCTGATGTAAATATAATAGAATTAGGAACTAAACTTCCCTTCAGCCGGCTAACACCGAGAGTCATGTCCAGGGGCATGTGCCTTCTTGGAGAGTGTTTTTCCCAGGCCTCCCTTCATTGTTCAGTCTTTGGAATGTTTGATACTTGTGTTCTGTCTGGGATCTTGAAATTAAAGTCAATGTCTCGCCTGCTAAGGGAGCTGGGGCTGTCAAATCCAATGGATCAGAACTCAGCCGACCCTTCCTCCTCTGTAAAGGACCTCCGTGGGTCAGTTTTGGTTCCATAAGGATGCAAATGAAGAATCCAACTCTTACACTGAGATATGTAAACTGAGGTTCTCCCTGGGGCATAGCCCACTCCCGAAGAATTTCCCAGCATGCGTTGCACTTGGCAGACAGCGTTGGATGAATGATGCCTAGATGTAGGGGCAAGGGATGAGAGCGACCAAAAGGAGGGCCATGGCCAGGATTCAAGGAAGCATCAATCAGAATAAGGATGAAGTGGATACATCCAGCAACATTCCCGGCTGCATGGAAGGTGGAGTCCCGAGCTCTATCTTCCCCACCGGGTCAGGAAGAGCATTTTCCTGGATCAATTTTATGGCACCCCACAGAGGAGATGGGGATGTCGGATGTTGGTCATCAGATCTCCTTCTCCCAGTCAAGGTGGCCGGGAGATGTGGAAACCACCATCAGCGAGTCAGGAAGAAGGACTTGAGGCTGCGTAAGAAATTCGACTTCTGTCTCTGCTTCTGTTTCTTTTTGATGATGGGCACCCACACCAGCCCGCACACCAGCATCATGAGTCCTAAGGACAGAAAGGCAGGCCCTACCATTTTGAGGATGGAGACGCTCTTGTCACCCAGATTCAAGGTATAGGCCAAGCAGGTGATGACCACACCAAAAAGCAAGATGGCGCCACCCACGGACATGATGACGATGGGCTTGCGGTAGATTTCCCAGTTACTCCTGGGGGTGGTGGTCCAGACAGACTCACTCCTGGAGCTGATGCACAGGGAGCTGGCAGTCTGGCTGGGCAGCAGGTCCTTGGCTTCTGGAGACTTCTCATCGACCTCCAGGGCCTTGGGGAGAGTCTCCATCGTCATGGCTGCTCAGGACTGGGAGCCTAGGACCAGCAATAGCTGGAAACAAGAGTGGAGCCAAAGGAATCCTCACACAGCCTTCCTGTACTCAGCATCCATCTCTAGCCCCACTCTCAGTGGAGGGTGAACAAGGTCTTTGTGCTGAAACCAAAAAAGAAAAAAGAAAATGAAATGAAATCCATGTTAATAAGAAATCACCCAAGGTTTCTTATTTGTAAATAATTTATAAATAAGGTTTCTTATTTATAAACAATATATATTATAAAATATTATAACATTTTATTCAATTGCTTTTAATATTTAAAACAGGGAACAGTTATGCTATTTTAGAAACAAACAAAAGCTATATATATATATAGTTGTTGTTATTGTTGTTTTGTTTTTTAGATGGAGTCTCCCTCTGTCACCCAGGCTGGAGTGCAGTGGCACAATCTCTGCTCACTGCAACCTCCACCTCCTGGGTTCAAGAAACTCTCATGCCGGCTGAGCACCGTGGCTCACGCCTGTAATCCCAGCACTTTGGGAGGCTGAGGCAGTCAAATCATTTGAGGTCAGGAGTTTGAGACCAGCCTGGCCAACATGGTGAAACCCCGCGTCTCTACTAAAAATACAAAAAAGTTACCTGGGCGTGGTGGTGAGTGCCTGTAATCCCAGCTACTTGGGAGACTGGGGCAGGATAATTGCTTGAACCCAGGTGGTGGAGGTTGCAGTGAGCCGAGATTGCACCAATGCATTCTAGCCTGGGCAACAGAGAAAGACTCTGACTTTCGTGCCTCAGCCTCTGGAGTAGCTGGGATTACAGGCATGCACCACCACACCTGGCTAATTTTTGTGTTTTTAGTAGAGATGGATTTTTACCATGTTAGCCAGGCTGGTCACAAACTCTTGACCTAAGTTATCCACCTCGGCCTCCCAAAGTGCTGAGATTACAGGTGTGAGCCACCGTGCCCGGCCAGCTGTTTGGCCATGGTAATATTAAAGTTCAGATCGCTGCTTCCTAAGACTCTGAAAATATTACAAGGTGCTTTTGTAACCATACGGACCTAGTGTGTGCTTCCCTTTGGAGCCTGTGGTATATTTACATAAGTGAAGTAGTCATTTAAAAAGTGTTTTTTTTTCCCCCGTGGGCTTGAGGGTAGGGATGGGATCATAAAGCTTTTAGGAAATCTTGTGCTGGTTATTGCAATCTGGTTTCATATGAGGACATCTCTTTTTCTCAGTAGTCATTTCCACCCCTTTTCAGTGAAGACGGGACGATGTGATTGCTGTTTCCAGAAGTTGGAAAGCTTGTGATGAAGGCATTAAAATGCAGTGATTCTCAGTAGTGCCAGAGAAGAGAGCTGAGGCTGGGCAGGGAAGGGCTTGTTCCTAGGAGCTGCCATCTGGGAGTGAGGGGGCCTCAGGAACAGGAAGTGTTCAACTGGAGGCAGGGACATTTGACTCCTGATTCGGAGAGAGGAAAATGGGCCTTGCTGGAATTAACTAACATCTTCTTTTTGGCTCTACAATGTGGTCGCTAGTTTAGTTTCATTTTCTAGGAACAGAGACTGAGACCCAGTGGGGTTTAGGAGCTTGGCGAACTATACCCTTCCGATCTCAGCTCACTGCAACCTCTGCCTCCCAGGTTCAAGCAATTCTCCTGCCACAGCCTCCCAAGTAGCTGGGATTACAGGCATGCTCTAGCACACCTGACTAATTTAGTATTTTTAGAGATGGGGTTTCTCCATGTTGGTCAGGCTGGTCCCTAACTCTCGACCTCATGTTATCCGACCGCCTTGGCCTCCCAAAGTGCTGGGATTACAGGGTGAGCCAATGCGCTCAGCCTCTCACTTCCTTCTTAAGTTTGGGGGGGCGGTCTTCCAGCCTCCATTTATGTTCCCCTTCCTTGTACTGTGGTCTGGAAACTCTCTTAATGCAGTAACCTGGGGCAATGGTTTGGCTAGTCTCACTTTTTTTCCCATCTTTCATTTATCACTGTATTTCATTGCCTGATGTCCACACTCTTGTAAACTATCATTTTATACGTCTTGTTTGTTAATTTTTTTTTTGTTGTTGTTGTTGTTGTTATTTCAGGCAGAAGCATAAATCCAGTCTTTGTTATTCCGTCTTAGCCAGAAATGGATCTTTAGGGTCTAATCTTCATTCAGAAGGTCTGGAGTTGCTGCATGTAAGAATCATTTGATGAAGCTTGTTAAAGTACAGATGCTCCCACACAGCAATATGATGTCTGCAGAGGGAGAAAATGATCTGCGTTTCAGTGAGGTACCAGGGCTTTTTAACAATGGCACGGTTGGCGTTTTGGATTGGACAGTCGATTGCTGTGGCAGACTATAGAATTGTAGGATGTTTGTATTGTAGGATGTTTAGCAACATCCCTGGATTCTACCCACCAGATGCCAGTAGTACCTCTTCCTCCCTGTCCCTATCATGACAATAAACTATATCTCCAGACCTTGCAAATGTCCGCTGGGGTGGGGAAGATCAACATGGTGGAGAGCCACTGCTCTGGCCAGCCTTTCCTCCTGCATACTTTGAAAACTGCCTCAGGACAGAGGCTGGGCTTCCTCTTCTTCTATTCCATAGCACCTGGCTCACAGCCTGGCACTTGGCAGCTGCTCAGAGAAGGGAGAGGGGAATTTGACACACAGAGGAGAAGGCTATGTGCAGAGAAGAGGTGGAAGGAATGCTCTACAAGCCAAAGCATGCCAAAGTCCTGGTGCCCCAGACTGGACAAGGACTGAGGCTCCAGAGAGGCTGGGCCTGTGGAGGAGCCAGGAAAGGCTGGAGTTGCAGGACTTCCTGAATCACCTCAGATTTGAATGTTGGCTGGCCTGCAGGGCAGCAACTGGAGAAGGGTAGGGATGGGACCTTCTCCCCTAGAGACCCATTCGGAGCTTCAGAAGGCTGAGTTAGTGGGTGGGGACTTAATTACAGTACACAACCAGGCTAAGCAGGCTGCAGGCTGGCACCAAGAAACAGTGCTGGTCTGGGACTATACAGCAACGAGAAGCCAGACAGAAAAAGAATGCACACCACATGATCTTATTTCCATAAAATTCAAAAACATGTAAAACAGTCTGTGCTACGAGGGGCTAGGGTAGTGGCTGCCTTTGGTGGGAGTAGTGACCGGAAGGGAGCCCAGTGGGGACTTCTAAGGTGCCGGGAATGTTCTGATTCTTGGCCTGGCAGCTGTCTACGAGGGAGTGGACTCATGCTGCAGTACACTTGTGGTGTGACTGTTTCGGTGTGTGTACAATCTTTGCCAATAAAACACTTAAACAAAGAGAATTAAAAGGTATAACTCAATGCAATGTGTTCCTTCCTTTGGATTCTGATTAGAATGAGCCAGTTGCACAAAGGCATTGGGGATAGTTAGGGAAGTTTGACCATGGATGTGGATAAGTCTCAGCCTCAGTGTGAACCATGGTTCTTTTCCCTTTTTCACAAGCACATTTATCCCTAGAGCTCTGTGGTCTTCCAAGCCCCAATCAGCATGGCTTTCCCTAGGTAGTTGCTGACCTTTAAGGTCAAATCAACAGCATAGACCCCTAGTGCTAAGAGGATAAGAGGGGGCCTGGGGATCCACCTGACATGACCAGAAACCCCCATAGTGATAACCCCTGGCCGTATAACTCGGGCCCCATTTCCTGGTTTGAAGGAATTGCTTATTCACATCTTACATGGATACATGGCAGGGATAGAGGTGCCAGACAAGAAAAGGGAAGGGAAGAGGGTGGAAAAAACACAGAGGACAGTTGATTTTCAACAAATGCATCAAAGCAATTCAACAAGGAAAGGAAAAGTCATTTCAACAAATGGTGCTGGAACAACTGGATATTCATATGGAAAAAGAATGAAACTTGACCCCATTTTGTGCCATCAACAAAAACCAGAGCTGGATCATGAATCTAACCTAAATATAAACGGTAAAACTAAAGATTTTGGGGAACCACAGGAAAAAATCTTTGTGACCTGGGGATAGGCAAAGATTTGGTAGACAAGACAGAGATAGAAAAAAACAATCAATAAAATAGATATTATCAAAATTTAAAATGCCTGCTCATTAGATGACACCATGAAGGAAATGAATAGGCAAACTCTGGACTGTGAGAAAATATTTATAAAATATGTATCTGGGCTTAGCGTGGTGGTTCATGCCCGTAATCTAATCCCAGCACTTTGAAAGGCTGAGGCAGCAGATCGGTTGAGGTCAGGAGTTCGAGACCAGCCTGGCCAATATGGTGAAACTCTGTCTCTACTAAAAATACACAAAATTAGCCGAGAGTGGTGGCACACAGCTGTAATCCCAGATGCTCGGGAGGCTGAGGCAGGAGAATTACTTGAAGCCAGCAGGTGGAAGTTGCAGTGAGCCGAGATTGCGTCATTGCACTCCAGCCTGGGCAACTGGGCAAGACTCTGTCTCAAAAAAAAAAAAAAAAAAAAAAAGTATCTGTCAAGACTACATATGATTAATAAAAAGACAAAGAGCTCAGTTGAAATGGGCCAACTGTTGAAATAGACTCATTACAAGATAACAAGTGAACAAGGAACCCATGAAAAAGTGCTTGACATTGATGTTTAACAGGAAAATACAGGTTAAAGCCACAACGAGACATCACCACACATTCACTATGATGGATAAAACGTGAAAATCTCACAATACCATAGGCTGGTGTGACCACGGAACAACCCGAGCCGGTGGGAATGGAAAATTGGTTGTTTCTTATGAAGTTAAATATATATCTACCCTTTGACCCAGCAGTTCCACTTTCAAATATTCATTTGTCCCAGAGAAATGAAAATGCATGTCTGCAAAAAGACTTAAGAATAGTCATAAAAGCTTTATTCATAATAGTAAAAAAATAAATAAAAAGAAAACAACCCAAACGTCCCTCAACAGAAGAAAGGATAAGTGGTTGTATAATCACACAATGGAATATTACTAAGCAGTAGAAAGGAGCTAACTTGCGAAGCACACTACAGCATGGATGAGCCACACAGACATGCTGGATCAAAGAGATCAAATATAAAAGAGTATCTATATTGTATGTTTCCATCTACATGGCATTCTGAAGCCAGCTAAGAACTAATTAAGGTGGCAAATCTCAGAACTATGGTTGTGGGGCTTGAGGAGGAACCAACTGGAAGATACACGAGGGAATTTCCCAGGGTGGATGGACATGTTCTATGCGGTGATATTGGTGGGGTCTGCACGAGGGATCCATTTGTCAAGATGGTGCCCTTCGATCTGTGCATTTCAATTGTGTAAATTACACCGCACGCCAAAGGGCTGTGAAAGCCTCCATAATAATCATCCAGTAGGGTGAGGAGGGGCACACACAGAAGTAGAGCTTGACCAGGAATGGAAGAATGTTGACCATGGCTGATGCCCTACAATGGAACCTGGAGACCCAGAGCAGGGCATAGGCAGGAGAGACAGCAAAGGAAAGCAGGGGTGCAGGCATGGTGGTGTGATTCCAGAATAGGGCAGAGACACTAAAGGGAAATCTGCAAGCTGAGAGGTACCTGGCTCTATAGGAACTGACTGAGAAAGAGGAGATCCTGAGAGGAAGAGAAAGTGCTTCTGGGAAACATCTGGAATTGGGAAGAGGTTGTGGGGAGAGAAGGAGCAAAGGGATGAAAACAAGAATTTCACCTCGTCTCTGGAAAGGTATCATCCCTTGAAGAAAAACACAGACTTGGCCAGGTATGGTGGCTCATGCGTGTCATCCCAGCACTTTGGGAGGCTGAGGCAGGTGGATCACCTGAGGTCAGAAGTTCGAGACCAGCATGGCCAACATGGTGAAACCCCATCTCTACTAAAAATACAAAAATTAGCTGGGCCGGGTGGTGGGCGCCTATAATCCCAGCTACTTGGGTGGCTGAGGCAGCAGAATCACTTGATCTACTGGGGAGGCGGAGGTTATAGTGAGCCAAGATTGTTCCACTGCACTGCAGCCTGGGCAACAAGAGCAAGACTTTGTCTCAAAATAATAATAATAATAATAAATAAATAAATAAAAAAGAAAAACTCAGACTTTCAGGAACCAGGGGGGCCCTGAACTGAAAGAAGTCTGGGTTTGGTTGGCTGAACAAACACACCCAGAAGGGAGGTACCAATAGGGCTGTCTCTTAATCTTGTTACGACTTGTCTGTGTATCTGCCTTTTGTGTTTGGAATTATCCCTGTCTTTGGAGACCTGGCATACGCTTATCTTGTCAGCGTCTGGCTGTTGATTTTATATTCCCCAGGCCGTTAAACAGTGAGCAGTGCTCACCAACATTGCAGCACACCCTTTGCCAGACACAGAGTTGCAGGCGTAAGACAATGTCCCTTCTCCCAAGAGGAGCTTGCGGTGTGCACATTCGCTTGGACCACAGCATCTTGGACAAATGCAGTAACGAGATGTCTCAGATAAGAGGGGAGAGAACTGGCTGGAAAATTCTTGGCTTTTTCTCACACACGCTATATGCATTCCCCCAAGATGTGGTTTGGTGAGGAGAATATGGGTGCTGGTGAACAATGAGTGTCCTGAGGCAAGCAAGGCCACATCCTTTTCTCTTGAGTAGATTCCTGAGCATCTGGAAGGTACAGCTTAACAGAATGGCAGATGTCAGTGAAATAAGTGAATGATTTCCCCACAGACGACCAGATATGTGTCTGTTCTTACAGGGCCGGAAGCGCTTTCTTCACTCCCATACTCTTTGAGGGGCTGGGGCTGGGTGCTCCTACCTTCCTGCACCCTGACACCTATGACTTCCTTGGCCCACTGGCAGAGGCTGAGGACTCAGTAAACATTTGTTACATGGCTTAATCAATGGGGGAGTTATGGTAAGAGAGGAAGGAGAGGGCTTTGCGGGTTGTTTGCAGAGCTGCAATTACCCTGCAATTAATTTTTTTTCTTTTGAACTACAGAAGGTTAGAAGTGGCTAACACTGCCTTACCAAGTCCCTGGTCCTGTTCCTTCCCACCTGGTGGTTGTAAACAACTCTCTTTGATCTTACAGCCAAGTGTTAGGATGGGAACAGTTCCCAAGGAGGGAGGGAGACAGCTGTGAAGGTGCAAAGGCAGGACACACTGACCAATTCCTCCCTGCTTCTCTTCTTCGGCCTGTAAGTAACGGCTAACCTGGTCAAGACAGGCTTCCCTCTGCAAAAATCTCTAATGTACCTCAGCTGCTTCTCCAAGGCCGAAGAAGCCATGCAGTAGCAGGGGAGGTCAGGTGCTTTTTAGACAATAATCATAACTACCATTTATCGATTGCTTAGCGTGTGGTGGGAACCATGCCGAATGCTTTGTCTGCATTGCCTCATTTCATCACTTCATCCCCCCACGAAGTTTGTCCTTTGGGGAAGGTATATTCTTATCCCACTTTGCAGGTGAGGAAACTGACGATCGGAGAGGTGTAAGTGACTTGACCAAGATTACTCACAGGTGAGGAGAGCATCTGGATTGGAATGTGAGTCTTGCAGCCTGCCTAGCTCCAGACTCTGTTCAAGTCTATCCTGCTCCTCTTTGGGGTGGTTTTAACGTTTCTTTTCAAATTATGGGAAAAGCCAGTGGGAAGGACACCCAAGGTGGGGCATAGTCAGTGAAGAGAACTGCAGCGGTGGCAGCCTTGGCTGAGGAGATAGGAGCTGCCAAGGATGCCCGAGTCCCTGAGCTGGGGCCAGCAAGCAGCGAGAGACCTCTGGCACAGTGGCCTCAATGTCAGCACCAACACCATGCCACAAATCCAGCATAAGATGCCTGGCACGCGCCATTTTCTTCACGTGGGGAGTCTCTTTTAATCCTCAGCTCTATGAGGGTGATAATCTTATCATTCCCATTTCATTCCCATTTTGCAGCTAGGAACACTGAGGCTCAGAGCTGCGGGCCTCCATATCCTCCTTTTTTTTTTTTTTTTTTTTTTTTTGAGATGGAATTTGGCTCTTTTGCCCAGGCCAGAGTGAAGTGGTGTGATCTCGGCTCACCACAACCTCCGCCTCCCAGGTTCAAGCAATTCTCCTGCCTCAGCTTCCTGAGTAGCTGGGATTACAGGTGCATGCCTCCATGCCTGGCTAATTTTTGTATTTTTAGTAGAGATGGGGTTTTGCCATGTTGGCCAGGCTGGTCTTGAACTCCTAACCTCGGTTGATCCACCCACCTCAGCCTCTCAAAGTGCTAGGATTACAGGCGTGGGCTGCGGCGCCTGGACATTCCTGCTCTTTTATTTATGCTTATCGAGGAGAGGGCCCTGCCTTTTTTCCTTCTTGTTTTCTTCTCTGCCTTCCTTCCTTGCATTCCACCACCCAGTACCTGTACACCTCCACCCCCAAACTCACTCCCCAGCCTTTCCCTGGCGCTGTCCTCCTTGGAACGTGCTGAAATATGGTTGGTATTAATACAGCTGCCAGAGTTAGAGAATAAAACTACAAGGTGTTTGGTTACATTTCAGTCTCAGATCAATAATGGATACTTTCTTCATCTAAGAATGTTCCAACATTACATGGGACCTATGCATGCAAAAACAGTATTCATTGTTTGTCATAAATTCAAATTGAATTGGGCATCTGGCAATACATCTGGCAACCGTAATATTCGAAGAGACCTTGCTGTGCTGCCATGCTTGGGCCTGGAGTTATCTGGCCCTTCCCGAGCTTCTCCCCTGCCAGGCCCCCCCATCTAGAGAGCTCAGACAGCAGCTGGGCGATTCTGGGAGTTGCAAGAGCATAAAGCAGAGGAGAGAGGCACACGTTACCTCACTGCTGGGAGGCTGGGCCCAACGAGGGGAGTCTGGAGGAGAAGCGGGGAAGGCGGGCTGGAAGTGGGGGGAATAACACCACGTATTGTTCCTGTGGAAGACCCGGTGTGGTGAGAAGTGGGGAGGGTCATCCTCTTTCCCTCACGGAGTCCCCGCTAACGCCCTACCCAGCTCCAGCTTGGGTTGTCCCCAGGGTCCCTTATCTTCTCTGGTGGTGCAGTCTTCCCTCACCAGGACATTCGGTTGGTGACTGCACCCCTCTGATAAGGTGAGTGGGGGCCAAGTGCCTGGGCTGATAAGGTAGCAGCTGGAGAGTTTCTGAGTAAGCTGCTGCTGTCGCCACGGCCTTGGCCATCCATCTGTCACCTGCTCACAGTGCTTCTAGAAAAGCAGTCAAACCTGGAGGGTGCCACTCACCTCCCTCATCAGGACACCCAGACCCTGGCCAGTGACAGGGAAGAAAAATAGCTCCGGTGATAATGTGTGTGATCACGTCTGGCTTTACCCGGATGCAGGGTCCCTAAGGCACACAGTAGCCTGACTGAGCCACATCTTTGCCCATGTTTTCATAGGCCTGCCTTGTTCCCTCTTTCTGAGATAAAACTCCCGAGCCAGCCAGCACACTCCACCTTGTTTTTCTGGCACCTGCCCCGTGCACCTGCCACAGCCGCAGGAGGAAGATACGGGCAGCTGCTGAGGTCTGATACGGGGCGCCCGGAAGGACGGTCTGGGTCCCAGATTGCAGCCATGTACTCTCGGGTCCGGGTGGCCTTGCACTTTACTGTCTGGCTTTTTTTTGCTCCTTCTTCCACCTAGGTTTGGGAGGATAGTCCCTGCCCAGCCCCTCCCACAATGGCTGCCAAGGTTGAAGGTGGGATGCTATACAGGCAGGTCTGAAGCAGCCCTCTGCCCACAAATTCCCTTCCCTTTGGTACACAGCAAGGGGTGGCCCCCCTCCTCCGGCCACCACTGTCTGCCAAGACCCTCAGTAGGCAGTGCCTCCAGGTTGGCTTTCACCCCTTCCCAGGGCACAGCCCCTTCTTGGCCTGTTGGCTCCTGCTTACCTTCCAGCACTAGTTCAAAGACAACACGCTCTAAAGCAAAGTTAAAACCAGTTTCTTCCTCCAGAGAGATGGAAGGAAGGGCAGAGGGAAACGTTCCCTCCTTACTTACTGTCCTCGATGTCCCAGGGGAGGATGGGGAACCTGCGAATCACTCGGTGCTCATGCAATGAGGAAGTCAGCAATGAGTTTCTGCTCAAGTCCATGCCAGCCAGAGAAAGCCACCCTGACCACATCCAGAAGTCGTGCTGTGAATCCCAGCAACTGAGCAGGCTCCAGCAGGGATGAGCTCACCAGGCGATGGCCTAATGGGTTAACTCTTTGCGAGCTGCTGGCACAGGTCCTCTGAATGTAGCTTTCTCAGCTCTGCTGAGCCAGGATGAGATGAATCTTGTGAAAAATTCATGATGCTTCTCTGCAGTCTGTCTTCAAGTTTCATGGAGGCATGTGTCCCATTGGTGCCTAGGCAGGGCAGCTTCTCCTGACCCAGGCTCAGAAATCAGAAGACCTGGAATTTCTGGGTTGGTGAAGGGGTGTGGTGGTCATGGTGGTGGGGATGGGTTGCCAAAGAGTGGGTCATACCCTCTGGCTGACTCAGGGTACTCTGGCTCTGTTCAGTGCAAGCCTTAATAATTCGATCTGGGAACAGTCTTTATTCTGGATGTTGGAGCGGGGACATGCAGACTTAGAAAACATCCTTGGTTACAAGACGGCAGGGACGTTTCTTGGAACTTTCCAATGCCTATGGGTGGGCACCCTATGTTACAACATGTCAGAGCCCACAACAGGACCTACCCCTATTCCAGGCCCGATATCTCAAACTGAGACAAAAGAGTCTGTTCCCTTTTGCTCCTCCAATCATTCCTGAGGATGCCCGGTTGCTTTGCATGGGATGCAGCCTGCCACGGTGACAAAAAGAGAATGATGAAAATCAGTGCAAGGAGGGTGAAAAGGTTTTCGCCTCTATAAACCTTTACCAGACTGTGCTTGGGGAAGCGGGTGTGAGCTGTTGAGTGGCCAGTTCTCAAGAGGCTGATGGATACACTGAGGTCAGCAAACTTGCCTATGACTCTGGAAGGCACACTGACTCCTGCCCTTGTTCACACCAACCTGAGAATGTGCGCAGCTGCTGCTTGTCGGGATAACGGTGGGTGGGCATCCTTGCTACTGGGAGCAATACACTGGGGAGCTTCCTCTGGGGTCCCCAGGGAGGGCTTTCCGAGGAGCCATTCAGGGAAACTGATGTCAAGGCGGGTATGAGGCTCTCCCATATTTGGCATCTTGAGCTCCTCACCTGTGCAATGAGCAGGAGATTCCAATCCTGGAAGACTCTGCAGAGGCTGCTGTATGATTCATGCCTAGAGTTGCGAAGAGCTAGGAGGGTGAGCCTGTCCCCTGAGCTGCTGGGAGGGATCAGGCTGAGTACACCCTCTGTCCTCTGAAGATGAGCATCTCTGCTCAGGGCAATGGACAGTGAGAGGCCTGCCGTGAGTGTCCAGGGGAATTTGACTTGGAAGGATTTTGAGGAGGTGAGTTGCTTTGCCTTAGGTGGGTGCCTCTGACATTAAAAAAAAATAATAATTTAATTTAATTTAATTTTTTTATTGCATTTTAGGTTTTGGGGTACATGTGAAGAACACGCAGGATTGTTGCATAGGTACACACATGGCAGTGTGATTTGCTGCCTTCCTCCCCATCACCTATATCTGGCATTTCTCCCCATGCTATCTCTCCCTAACTCCCTACCCGCTGCCGTCCCTCCCCTATTTCCCCCCAACAGACCCCAGTGTGTGATGTTCCCCTCCCTGTGTCCATGTGTTCTCATTGTTCAACACCTGCCTATGAGTGAGAACATTCGGTGTTTGATTCTCTGTTCTTGTGTCAGTTTGCTGAGAATGATGGTTTCCAGGTTCATCCATGTCCCTACAAAGGACAGGAACTCATCGTTTTTGATGGCTGTATAATATTCCATGGTGTATATGTGCCAGATTTTCCCTGTCCAGTCTATCATCCATGGGCATTTGGGTTGGTTCCAGGTTTTTGCTATTGTAAATTGTGCTGCAATGAACATTCATGTGCATGTGTCCTTATAGTAGAATGATTTATAATCCTTTGGATATATACCCAGTAATGGGATTGCTGGGTCAAATGGAATTTCTATTTCCAGGTCCTTGAGGAATCGCCACACTGTCTTCCACAATGGTTGAATTAATTTACACTAGCACCAACAGTGTAAAAGTGTTCCTATTTCTCCACATCCTCTCCAGCATCTGTTGTCTCCAGATTTTTTAATGATCGCCATTCTAACTGGCGTGAGATGGTATCTCAATGTAGTTTTGATTTGCATTTCTCTAATGACCAGTGATGATGGCATTTTTTTTTCATATGTTTGTTGGCCTCATGTATGTCTTCTTTTGTAAAGTGTCTGTTCATATCCTTTGCCCACTTTTGAATGGGCTTCCTTGTTTTTTTTTTTTTTTTTTTCTTGTAAATCTGTTTTAGTTCTTTGTAGATTCTGGATATCAGCCCTTTGTCAGATGGGTAGACTGCAAAAATTTTTTCCCATTCTGTTGGTTGCTGATTAAAAACTCTAGAAGAAAATCTAGGCAAAACCATTCAGGATATAGGTGTAGGCAAGGACTTCATGACCCAAACACCAAAAGCATTGGCAACAAAAGCCAAAATAGACAAACGAGACCTAATCAAACTCTACAGCTTCTACAAAGCAAAAGAAACAGTCATTAGAGTGAATCGGCCTCTGACTTTATACTCAAATCAGTTTGGAAAACCAAGTGGCCTGGCTTGCAAAGGAGCCTCGAGTGAATTCTTTTGCAATGCAAATAATCAAACGATTTATTTATTTATTTTTACAAAGTTCAGGCTTTCCCCCCACCCTCTGCAGGGCATGGCAGAGTGGCAGAATAATACCATCCATAAGAGTTGAACCCTTGCCAGACGTGGTGGCTGATGCCTATAATCCCAGCACTTTGGGAGGCTGAGGTGGGCGGATCACGAAGTCAGGAGTTCAAGACCAGCCTGGCCAAGATGGCGAAACCTCGACTCTACTAAAAATACAAAAATTCACTGGGCGTGGTGGTCGCTGCCTGTAATCACAGCTACTTGGGAGGCTGAGGCAGGGAACTGCTTGAACCCGGGAGGCGAAGGTTGCCATGAGCTGAGATCACGCTGAGCTACAGAACGAGACTCTTTCTAAAAGAAAGTTGAACCTTTATTTATCATTCTCCCCATGTCAGGCACTCTTCTAAGCTCTTTACATATATATATATACCTCTATGAGGTAGCTATGTGAGGTGTATTGCTATCTCTGTATTTGGCCTTGAATAAATTACTTCTCTGGGCCTTAATTTCCTCATGTATTTATCAGGTGGGATCATTACTATATCACAGAGCTTTTATGAAGATGAAACGAGAAAATGCTCATAGCAAGTGCTTAAAGAATACGTACATTATACATGTATATAATACACGTTGTGTATGAGTACGCATTTAAGTATATCTGTAAATTGGGGAGGGCAGCAAGCATCAGAGGAGAACGTGTGCAGGGTAGAAGCTGTTCTGTCTGCAGACCCCCTGCCAGCAGGACAGAGGAGGCGGCTCCAGGAGCCAGCACGTTCCCTGGGCAGGTGACTCCGGTGTCCTGGGATAAAGAGGCCGCTGCTGCAGCTGTTGGTGTTGAAGCAGACAGGAACAGGGATGGTCATTGCCTGGGGATTGTTCTTAGCCTCTTATCCAGAGTGCCCTAATTCCCTAGCTGGTAGCTGCTCCTGCTCAGTGCTGTGCCCCTCACCTGATCAGCCCAGTGCTGCACGAGGCAGTGGTAGGTAAGGTGATCAGCCATCCCGGTTTACTGGGTACTGATGAGTTTCCAGAAATGTGGGACTTTCGGTGCCCAAACCGTGAAAGAAAGTACTGGAGGCATAGCTACTAAAAGTAATCGCTGGAACTTGTTGGGATCCTGCTTTGAAGGTGCTTTTGAGGCTGGGCATGTTGGCTCACACCTGTAATCCCAGCACTGTGGGAGGCCAAGGTGGGAGGATCACTTGAAGCCAGGAGTTTGAGACCAGCCTGGGCAACAAAGTAAGATTCTCTCTACAAAAAATAATTGAAAATTAGCCGGGCGTGTTGTCAGGTACTTGTGGTCCCAGCTACTTGGGAGGCTGAGATGGAAATCTCTCTTGGGCCCAAAAGGTCCAGCACTTCTTTTTGCCTCTAACAGCCTTTCCCTCCTCTGATTATGACATTTATTTATTGAAGACACAGGACTTCTGACTTAGAGAACTTCTCTCATTCCAGCTGTGGCTGTCTGCTTCCCCACAGTGCCATTTATCACTTGCCTGTGTTCTGCGAGGGCTGTGCCTCAATTTCCGCTGTGACCCTGGATCCCAGTACAGCGCCTTGGCCCAGGAGAGGAGAGGTGCCCCCTCAGTGATGAATACACAGTCATGTGAATATTCAAAAGGTACTTGGCACTGTATGGAGGGCTTTGGCCCACATGCCGTTTGGTCAGGGGCTGCATTTTCCGCACGTAGATAAGGCACCGGAACTTACGCAGACCCCACTCCCCACCCGCTTGTTTCCTCCCCTGTAGGTCATTCATGCAAAATCCCCGTCTACAAACCCCCGCTTCCTGTTCTAGAAGAGAAGCAGTTCCTTCAAGGCGGGAAGGCTGTGCTCCTTCCCCCGAGCTAGCTTTGGAATAAAGTCACTTTCTTTCTTTTTTTTTTTTTTGAGTTGGAGTTTTGCTCTTGTCACCCAGGCTGGAGTGCAATGGTGTGACCTTGGCTCACTGCAACCTCTGTCTCCCGGGTTCAAACAATTCTCCTGCCTCAGCCTCCCTAGTAGCTGGGATTACAGGCACCTGCCACCACGTCCAGCTAATTTTTTTTTGTATTTTTAGTAGAGACGGGGTTTTACCATGTTGGCCAGGCTGGTCTTGAACTCCTGACCTCGTGATCCACCCATCTTGGCCTCCCAAAGTGCTGGGATTACAGGCATGAACCATCACGCCCCGCCCAAGTCACTTTCTTTATAGCTGATCTCCGGAGCAACTGAACTTGGAACCTAGTTACACTCTCCCTCCTGCTCACGCCAAAGCAGGGAAATGAGCAAATAGGAACTTTCAGGGTAACTTCAGAGGAGGTGACTGCCCTGAGCAGGAGTTTCCCCAGGACCCTGGCTATCTCTTGCCAATGCCAGTGCAGAGGGGGAGTGAGGTTCTAACCAGGGAAAGG